ATTATGCTTAGTGAAATAAGCCAAGCGGACAAAGAGAAATACCAAATGATTTCACTCATCTGTGGAGTATAAGAACAAAAGAAAGACTGAAGGAGCAAAACAGCAGCAGAATCACAGAACCCAAGAATGGACTAACAGGTACCAAAGGGAAAGACACTGGGGAGAATGGGAGGGTAGGGAGGGATAAGGGCAGGGAAGAAGAAAGGAGGTATTATGATTAGCATGTATAATGTGGGGGGGTGGGGGAAAGGGGAGGGCTTTGCAACACAGAGAAGACAAGTAGTGATTCTACCGCATCTTGTTATGCTGATGGACAGTGACTGTAATGGGTTTTGTGGGGGGACTTGGGGTAGGGGAGAGCCTAGTAAACATAATGTTCTTCAAAAAAATAAAAATAAATTAATTGATTATTAAAAAAATAAATTAAAAAATTTAAAAAATGTACTTTTGCATTTCACCAGATACAAATCAAAAGAACTTTTTTCTTTTTAGGGCATGCAGTATAAAGATTATACCCAAAGTGAGAGAAACTTAGGTGAGTGTGAATACATTGGTATTTTATAATTTGTTGAAAGATTATCATGGAAGTTCATCCATTCATATCGGCTTAACAGATTTAGATATCTTTTAAAAATTTATTCTTATTATTCTTTTTCATCAGAAACCAAAACCTTTATTTGTTAAAGTAGTTTTAGCTAACACTTAAATATTCTTAACATCTAACAGGTTAAAATATTTCATCTAGTAATTTCTTACCTTTCCATATCCATATTTACCTTTTCCTTATTAACAGTGCTGATTTATTCCAAACAAGGCACAAAATATTAATTTAAAACTTTTTTTTTAATTCAGAATTTGACATCTGCAACATGTGGTGTAGTAAACCAATTTCTTTCCTGCAAGATTATTGTGATGCCATTAAAATATACATCTTCTGGCCACTTCTGTTTCAACGACAACACAGTTCTATAATATCACGGTTGCACCCCTGTGTGGAGGCCAGGTAAATTACTATGTTACTCATTTTATATGAACAGTAGTAAACATATTGCCTAGTACTGAGGAATGCCAAGTGCAGTGGAAGGCTATGTCTCATTCTTGTATCCTGTTCATCTTCACTCTTGGTTAATAGGTGGAAAAACTTAATACTTGGAATTTGGATATGAATGAAAAATCATTTGTAAGGGAAAGGAAGTGCTAACATTACAATGAATGAGACTCTGAAGAGCTTTAGATTGTAGATTTAAAGCTAAGTAAGGAAAATTAGTGTGCTTGTTTATAAATGTAAGCATTGTAGTACAAAAGAGGAACAAGTATAGTATTTTGTCCACTTAAAGAACTTACTGTTTCCTTGAGAGAAAGAACAGCTTATTTTTTTCTCAAGTAGTTTAAATTGAGGTATAATATACAGTTACGTGTAAAGTTCAGTAAATTTTTGTATGTGAGAACCTAATCTTTTAAAAAATAAATTTGTCTTTAAGCAATTCTAATGCTTCTGAGATAAGTTTGAAAAAATTACAACATCTTGAGTTGATGGAAGATATTGTGGATTTGGCAAAGAAAGTTGCGGTAAGTGGTAGAATGTGTTTTCCGTCCCCTCTATTTAAAGAATATAAATACTTGGATGGTGTCAGGCCCGTATTACTAATTTGTAGTGGTTAACGGGTAGTGGTTTCAGTTTTGGTTAATCTGACTCTGCTGTCCATGAAGAATCTTTGCTGTGTATTTGAGAGATCAAGTAGATGGCTGTTTTCATGGTTCTGACATATGATGAGAACCAGGACTGCTCTTTGTCCTTAAAGATACAAATAGGTATTTGTCACAAATGAAAGTGTGCTCCTGGTTCACAGAAACCTATGTCACAAGTTCTGAAAGTGATGAGTTCTATCTTAAAACATGAAGTCACTGTCAGTACAACAAATGCTTTTTCTTTGGGGTAAAGTTTATCCTTTATTGAGGAGGTGTCCTTGTGCTGTACTGATTTTTTTTTTTACTAGAAAGCCATTTGATAATTTTTCTTATTTCAGTTGATAAGGAGTCAAGCGTTTTTCTTGTTATTATTCTGATTGCAAACTTAAATTCAGAAAGTTCATTCTGATGTTTGTTTCCTGCTGATAATCCTTTGCAGTAACTTATATTAGCCAGTGAACTTCTATAAAAAATCCAGTGTAACAAACTTTAAAATCCATGTCTAAAAGTTATACTAAATCATTTCATGATTAGGACCCAATGTAAGACTACTTCTGAATTCTTACTTTAGGGTCCTTAAGACCTAAATGGGGCTTGAAAGTGCTTGTGGGCTACTATGTACGTTAGAGTAGTATTCCTAGAATGTAGGATTTTTGTCCACCAAAAAATTCAAGTATAATTGATTGAATAAGGGAAAAACTGTGTTTTGTTCTTTTTGTTTGTTTTACAGAATGATTCATTCTTTATTGGAGGCTTATTGAGAATTGGTTATAAAATAGAAAATGTAAGTGTTAACCGTGGGAGCCCAGCACAACCACTGTGAATAAATAGCAGTCGTCTCATGGGTCATTGCCCCACATATTGGGTCCACATAGTCAGTGTTTGGTAGTGTTTGGTGCTACTGATCTCTGTATTTTGCTTAAGCAATTCCTTATTTTGAGGATTTGCATTGGTATAATTTTAAGCTTCTTTTACAAGTTGATTATTTTTTCTATTTTAGATTATTTATCTGGTATATGTTCTCCCAGTGAAATTATTAGGCCCCTGACATGAACATTTTTTGATATGTAATAGCTAGATAATCTCCAAATATAATGATGAATCAGTGTTGAATGCTAATGGTAACATAAACATCTAAACATCTACGTGTTTCCCTTATGCCTGTCACCAGCATTGATAACTACACTATTTAACCTCTGAAGTCATTTCAGACACTAGAAACACAAGTAACATTTCTGTGAACTGTTCATGAACATCATTGTACCTAGTGCTCATTTGCTCATCTTCACTCTCCTCTGTTACCTCCTTATTCTCTTTGCCATGGACCATTTAAAATACACAGTCCCTTTGGTGAACCTTAATCTATACTTTTAACTTTGAGGTAAGGATGGAAGTCCTAGTTTAGATGAGATCTGAGACCCCTTGTTCACCTCATATTACTGCATTTTCCTGATGCCCTGGGTAATGCAGTTTTCCTGGCTAGGCTGTAGACCTCAGGTTCCAGGTCTGTAATCATTGAAGCAGCTTTCTGAACTCTGAGGGGCCCTGAGGTTACCTGAAGATGTGACATATGTGAGTCCATGGTATCTATTAACTTATGTGTTGGGGACCAGCTATTTTAGGTCAAGTGCTAGAGTAATCAAAATATGAGATTGTATAAGTTTTGTATTAAGAATCTAAAATATTACATAAAATAAATTTATAATGTTATTTGTAAATTTAGAATTAATACGCAAATTACTTTCTTCATCCCCGTTTTTAAAACAGAAAATCTTGGCAATGGAAGAAGCTTTGAATTGGGTGAAATACACAGGCGATATAACAATTCTACCTAAATTAGGAGCAGTTGACAATTGTTGGCCTATGTTAAGTATTTTCTTTACTGAATGTAAGTATAAATGCTTTAATTGTTTAAAGTAAAAAACCTGACTTAGTTTCTAAAGGTTTTGGGAAAATGGAATGTCTAGTTATGTGATTACTTAGGATTTAAAAAATTTTTCCTTTTGTGAGAGAAAAGCCTGAATAAGAGAACTTCAACCCTGTAGTTACATTCTGTATTTCCTGTCTTTTAATGATTTCTGTGATGTTATATTTTTAAAAATCCTACCAAACAGATGTCATAATTTATTATATGTGATACCCAAAGAAGGAGGCCACAACTGGGGCACATGTACTCTTATTCATAAGAGAAATAAGTAACGAGCTAAGGTTAGAATTTTCATTTCTTTGATGAATCTGTTATTCTTACTAGTGATGAAACTGCCTTATATGTTTTCTTACTTTGTAAAATATTCTTCCCTACAGCATTTATGCTAGCAGTGTTTTTATAGTACAGTTACAGGAATCATGAAACAGGAAATATTTGGCTCTTTAGCTGATGATGACTGATAATTTGCCATCTCCACTAAGGAGAGAATTTTGTACTGTTGACCGAAGTGTTAGAAACTAAGCTTAAACACAAAGACAGGTTTTTCTGATAGGTTTATTAGGTACTGGGTTGTATTACATCAACAGAGGTGGTTCTTCTAGTTGTTCTGGAGGCCTTTAATTCTAGGCTAGATTTAATGGTAGAAGTAGAGGACCAATATCTTTTTTTTTTTTTTTTGAGAGGGCATCTCTCATATTTATTGATCAAATGGTTGTTAACAACAATAAAATTCAGTATAGGGGGGTCAATGCTCAATGTACAATCATTAATCCATCTCAAGCCTAATTCTCGTCAGTCTCCAATCTTCTGAAGCATAACGAACAAGTTCTTACATGGTGAACGAATTCTTACATAGTGAATAAATTCTTACATGGTGAACAGTACAAGGGCATTCATCACAGAAACTTTCGGTTTTGATCATGCATTATGACCTATAAACAATCAGGTCAAATATGAATATTCGTTTGATTTTTGTACTTGATTTATATGTTGATCCCACATTTCTCCTATTATTATTATTATTTTTATTTTTAATAAAATGCTGAAGTGGTAGGTAGATGCAAGATAAAGGTAGAAAACATAGTTTAGTGCTGTAAGAAGGCAAATGTAGATGATCAGATGATCAGGTGTGTGCCTATGGACTAAGTATTAATCCAGGCTAGACAAGGGCAGCAAGACATCCACGGATGCAGAAGATTTCTCTCAAAGCAGGGGGGGTGAGGTTCTGAGCCTCACCTCTGTTGATCCCCAAATTCTCACCTGATGGCCCCCCTGCGACTGTGCCTGTCTTAGGTTGTTCCTCCCTTGAGGAATCTTACCCGTCTCTGGCTAACCAGTCATCTTCCGGGGCCATACAGGGAAATGTAAAGTTGGTAAGTGAGAGAGAAGCCATATTGTTTGCAAAGGTTAGCTTTTTACTTCTTTGCAGATTTATGCCCTGTGGCTTCTATGCCCAGCACTTGTCTCGAGGTATCTTTACCACCTGGAGGAATTATGATACTCGGTAAATTCGATATGAGGCACGAATTCTATTTAAGGGTTGTAATTAGGAAGGAAGAAGAAAAGCTATAGATGTAGCATATGAAGGAAACTTGGGAGGATTGATTATTTCTTTGACATATCTTCTTGTATAGTACCTTAAGTATGTATAGGTTTTAAACTACTAACTAATTTGCACACACATATTAACATAATAGGAATACGGTGACATAAACAAAGCAAATCTATAATTACCAGCCATCTCCAGTGAAGCCAAGAAAACCATTTAGGCACCCTAGGCATTTGTGAAAATTTATCTATGATATGATGGATATTTTCCAACTGTACTTGAACCATCAGACAAATTAAAGCAGCCCATTTCTGGGATCTGTTCACATCCCATATGTTCTTTTAACCATAGATAGTCTATAGTCATGAGATTTTGGGGTGCTACAACTTGCACCCCTCCCAACTCCTGGTTGAGTTCCAACAGTACAGATCCAGTCAAATTCGTTGTCTCACTGTATGCACATGCCAGCCTAGACATCTCCCTCCTCCTTCTTATGGCAAGTCCAGGAGACGGTGGGCTGGATGCAGCCACAACCGCAGCATCGTCCGGATCCCTGTGGAGGCTTTTTGATGATCATCCCCCGGCACGAGTCCTCCAGAGAGTGCTGATGCCGGAAGCTCCTCCTCATATCGTATCTTAGTTCATTTTCTGGGTATCCAAGCTAGGCCTTGATCTTCTGCGTAGAAACAAACAGACCCTTTGCCCACACTTTGACATGCCCTCTATACCACTGTGCAGAACTCATTGGAGGTCAGCACACAGTAACTGCTTTTTTTTTTTTTTTTTAATAAGAGAAAGGAATATTATCAGAAAAGAGTACCTCCATAGCTGATCATCTGACACCCTTTAAGTGATCAACATTAAGGATATTTAAAGCATGCGTTGATCTTTGATTTACCAATAGTTTTATCCTGTTAAGGAGTAATCCCCCTTTTCTTTCTTTCTTTCTTTTTTTTTTTTTAAATTTTTAATCTACACTTACATGAAGAGTACTATGTTTACTATGCTCTCCCCTATATCAGGTCCCCCCTAACAACCACATTACGGTTACTGTCTATCAGCTTAGCAAAATGTTGTAGAATCCCTACTTGTCCTCTCTATGTGTTGTGCAGCCCACCCTCCCCTTTCTCCTTCCCCCCCATGCATGCTAATGAGGACCAATTTCTTATACTGAGCATCGATGTGGGCTTGTTTCTGACTCTCCTTTTCTGTTCTCTCTTCTTTATCATAGCACTGCAAGGTAACTGCTAGTGGCCCTATTTTAGAAATGACCTATTTTAGGTCAAAATGTCCCTACTTGAGGCTTTGAGATGTCAAGTGATATTTCTGTAGTCTAGTAAGAGGTAGAACCTAGATGAGAAGTCAGGTCTGTCTGATCTCAAAGCTCAGGTTTTCACCTGATTATCTTATTCTGTCTCTTAGTATTACTTTATTTGGTGACCTTCCCAAATCCTTTCTTGAATCTTAAATTTTAGGTACTCCTTTCACCCTGGATATGAATGTCTTTGGCTAGAGCTGTAACTATAGTTTGGTTGTAATAAAATTACTATTTGTCATTAAAAAAAATCTTCTTTCTAGAACAGCTTAAAATACAGAAAAAGAGATCTGGTAAACCTTTAATGCAAATTTTGGTCATTACTTACTGCATTTTAATTTGTTTATTAAATTTTTATAAGAATAGTGTTTCAAATATCTCATTTTAACATTTCATTTATGAGAGTCAAATGTTGAATTAAGACGTTTTAAATTCTTTATTTCTTACATTGAATACATTTTAGAAAGTAGTTTTCCTGGTTTTTGTTTTCAGATATTTTTTTTGAACATTGTGCCAGGTGCACCATAGGTGAACAGTAATGTTTGTTGAATTGACTTGAGTAATTCTGAGGCTTCTTTGAAAATGTTATGACAGAGCCCCTGTTGTAACTATAACTAGAACAACTATAATAATAAACACGTGTTTTTTAATGCTAGAAATAAAATTGAGATTAGATTCATAGCAAGCAATGAATCTCATGTTTTCTGAAACATTTTATCAGATGTTTAAAATATATTATTTGATTTATTTGATACTTGTAAAAGATTACAAGTAACATGTTATTTAGAAAGTATAAAAATGTAATGAACTTTAGGGACTCACCTACCTAACCTAAGAATTAGAATGTTAACAATACCCAGTTGTTTTTTTTAAACAAATGTTCTTTCACTCTCTCCTAAAAATAAATTTTAGACAAGTACCACATAACTAAAGTTGTTACAGAAAACTGCAATTTGCTTGAAGAATTTAGAACTCAAAATTGTGCGGAGTGTATAGAGGTGAGAATAAATATTTGCTTGTATGTATATTATAAGATTTGATTGTTAGAACTTCTAACCCTCAGAGGAAGTTCAATAAAAGTGCTGAAAGAACTACTATAAAAATCAGTAATGTGTTTGAGGGGAAATTTTAATGAATTTTGATTAGACTTTTTTTAGAAGAGAAAACATCTTAATCAGAATTTTCTAATGTTATGAAAAGATGCTTCACATCACTAATCATCAGGGAAATGCAAATCAAAACCACAATGAGGTATCACCTCCTATCAGTCAGAATGGCCACTATCCAAAAGACAAGAAATAACAAGTGTTGGTGAGGATGTGGAGAAAATGGAATCCTCCTGTACTAGTGGTGGGAATGTAAATTGATGTAGCTACTGTGGAAGCAGTATGGAGGTTCCTCAAAAAACAAAAATAGAAACACCATGTGATCCAGTAATTCCACTTTTAAGTATACACCTAGAGAAAACAAAATCACTAATTTGAAAAGATATATGCACACCTATGTTTATTGCTATGCTATTTACAATAGCCAAGATATGGAAGCAACCCGAGTGCCCATCAATAGATGAATAGGTAAAGAAGATGTAGTACACATACACAATGGAATATTATTCAGCTATAAAAAAGAAGGAAATCTTGTCAATTGCAACAACTTGGAGGGACCTAGAGGTTATTGTGCTCAGTGAAATAAGCCAGGTAGAGAAAGACAAATACCATGATTTCACTTATTTGTGGAATATAAAAACAAAAAACAAAAGAAAGCAAAGAAAAACTAACAAAAGAGAAGTAGACTCATAGACACTGAGAAGAGACTGGTACTTACCATGGGGGATGGGTTGGGGTGGGAGGGTGAAATGGGTGAAGGGTATAAAGAGGCACAGAATCTTAATCATAATATAAGTTAGTCATGGGGATGAAAGTAGAGCATAGAGAATATTGTCAATGAATCACTATGTTGAATACTTGAAACTAGTATAATCATGTATATCAACAATACTTCAATAAAATGTAATAGTAAAACAATTTTCTAATGTTACGGATTTTTAAATAATTGAAAATTGATATTTTTTTAACTTAAAGGCTAAAAACTTTTAATTAGTTGGGAAAACATGATTTTCTTTGGTAACAGCTTTATTGAGATGTAATTGACGTGCCATACAATTCACTCATAGGAAGTAAAATTTTAACTGAAATTTAAAAAAAGTATTTAGGAAAATATTTAATGCTCTGTTTCATTCTTTAAGCCATTGGTATGGTCCAGTTTATTTTAATTTAGAAACTTTGAGTACATGAAAAGTTTCAGTTATATCTGTAACACCTGTGATTTCTCTTTGATTTCATTCTTGATAAATTTGTCACCTCTTGGGGGGCAATTAATTTAATCACCATTGCCCAAATGTTACTGACTTATGTATTTCTTTTTAGCAACTCTGGTTTATTGAATAATATCACATTTCTAAAGTAAAATTAAAATTCTACCTGCCTCTTGATTTTCTTCACCATATGTTAGGCTTCATAAGGTTTATTTAAAAGTGGACCTGCCAAGTATGGCACATAAGGGGAAAACTGTTAGTAATTATTCATGATGTGATGATTTTGTTTACTTTTTAATATTCCTTGAACAAAGCTAGCATTGAGTAATTAGAGACAGGTTTCTTTAAATATATACACCAAAATATTGGATATTGCATTCTCATTTTTTATATAAATGATCCACAAGTTTGTTTCTGTTATCAAAGATAGAAACCCAGAACCATTTTTCCTAGATATTTGGGTTCTCAGTGGTCTTTGCAGTTAATTGATGGGTCTTCTTTCATCTTGGTTTCTCAGCAAGGAGAACTAATGAAAATGAAAGGAAATGAAGAGTTTTCCAAAGAAAGATTTGATATAGCTATTATCTATTACACCAGAGCCATTGAATATAGGTAAGAGCAAAATGGAACAGTGAGATCCTTTCTATGTGGCAAATCAAATTAGAAAGCCAGTCAGGAGAAATAAAAGCAAGATGAGGATTGGGGGTATCTGCAGCTTGCTGTGCAGAGTAGGTTTTCCCACCCTTAAGCATTAGAAGCATTAGAGATGGCCTGAGTAGATAAACTTAATCAAGTAGTATAACTCAGGCAAGTCAAGCAGAATGGTGATTTTGTTCTGCCCTGCCCCAGTTGCTTTCAAGCTTTCCAACAGTTATTTGTTCTTTCTTGTTCTCATTTTGCCTTTGACTGATTGCTTCCAAATTATTAGCTGATCGCAAATGGTTAGTTACTAATACTAAAGATACCACCCATTTAGGGATTTTTGCTAAGATGGAACTTCTACAGGGTAATAGTTAGAATTATTGAGAAAAATGCATGTGTTCTCTCAACATCATCTTCTCTTTGCTCAGCTGCTGGAATTTTGCAGCATTCCTGCAAGTGTGCCTCACACTTGACTCCTGTGACATCTGAGCTGGGCCACCTATTACAGCAGCCTGCAGAGGGTGCACTGTAGACAGCTACTGTCTTACCTACTTTGCCCATCTCCACGGGAATTGAGTGACTTAATGTGTCACGCCTCATTGGAAAGGCTACTGCTCTTTTCTTCTGAGGAAGAGGTGGAGAAAATGGGAAAATAAGTTCCACTACATAAATTCAGAAAAAAACTAAAAAGGACAAAATGATAAGGAAGCAATTTAAATTACCATTGCGATTTTCAGATTTCCTTTGCTGGGTTCTCTGTCAAAGTGTTACAGTCATGTAACTAATTCTGTCCTTTACAGTTACTTTACAAGTAACTGTTACTTGTAAAGTACAGCATAATTGTAGTTTGCTAGCTTTTTAATCTTCTGATCCTAACAGTTCAATGAGCTAGGGAGAAAAAGCAGAACATTTTGAATGTAGACAAGTTTAGCTTGATTTGAACAAAGTTATTTAGTTAGGAAGTAAAGGAACTGGAACTTAGCCTGTTAGGACTTCAGATCATATATTCTTTCTGCTTTGCCGCACAGATGTAGAGTTCTGAAAACCCAGAACCCAGAAGGCATTTTTATATCTTACGTTTTTGGTGTGATTTTGTTTGTTTTTATGTAATGTCCATTACTGACTAAACATTATTTATTTTAAAGACCTGAAAATCACCTTCTTTATGGTAACCGAGCTCTTTGTTTTCTTCGCACTGGACAGTTTAGGTAAGTTGGCTAGAGTACTGCAGTCACTGAACTGTAATGCTAAATACCCGTTTTTGAGAAATATTTATCTTTTGCAGGTATACAAGAAAATCCTTCAGTAGTTCTTTGGCAGAAATAGTCAGATGATTAAAAGGGGCTCTGCAGGCTTTATATATAATAACAATAGCATGTTATGTATTACTTTTAAGTACATTACTTATATTATGACATATATTTGTATATAACTTTCACAACACTTTCAGTAGGTAGGTATTGTTCTCCACATTTACGTTTGGGGAAACTCATACCAAGAGGAAGTGGTGATGACAAAATTTGAACACAGATCATCTGATGATGTCAAAGTCTGTTTTTATAATATCTATATTACCTCCTTTTGCTCTATTAATTTATATAGTTCTGGGAGAAGAATTTTTATTTGTTTCCTTTATCTAGTATAAAAAACTTAAGTAAATGTCCTTCATAAATGAAAGAAAGAAAAGAAATTTTATGGTTTAACTGTCGGAGTGAAATTGTAATTCTTAGTTCCTTATGTTAAACTGAGCCTTTTCTTACTAGTTGATAAAGATTGTCAACACTGCACCCTGATTTTGTTATCACTCAGTTAAAAATATTTAGAACATAAATTATAAGCACTAATATTGAACAGTGTAAACTACTATATTTTATGTACTGTGTTACTGTAAGAAGGGTTAGAGTGGCTTCAAGAATACATCCATTCAAAAGAGGTACAAACTTCCAATTATAAAATAAATAGATCACAGGGTGAAAGTACAGAATAGGGAATTTAATCAATATATTATGATAACTTTGTATGGTGACTGATGGTAACTACACTTACTATGGTGAGCATTTAGTAATTTATATACTTGTCAGGTCACTGTACACCTGAAACTAATACAATACTGTATGTCAACTGTACTTCAATTTTTTTAAAAAAAGAATACATCCATTCAGTAGAAGAATATTAAAAAAAAAGACAACAAACTAAAAAGTCCAAGTTAAAGTCTGGTCCTCAGAATAAAGTTGCATAGGCATAAAGTCCTGTTTAGTTATTAGTTATAATTCATATTTATATCTGATCTTTGTGTTGCCCAAAATAAAGCAAGAAAACCTGACAAGTTACATAATCTTCTGTGTAACCTAGGACACTAGTTGCTTAGGTGAAACGGTTTTCCTGGTGTTTAGTTTGGAAGATATTTATATGGCTTATAAGTAATATGACTTGAGTGCTGGAGTAAAGAACCACCTTAGTAACATTCTTGTTCAAAGCAAAATATTCCCTGACAGTGCAGTTTTGGCTTTCATAAATTAATTTTTTGTGAAGTTTTTTCATAAAAGCATTTTGGTATTAGTTGTTTTTCAGTGAAAACACTTACGTTGGGATGAGGGTGTGTGGGAATGGGGAAGAGAGTATGTTTCAAGTATGTAGCTTTAAAAAATAACATTATGTTTTTCTTTTATTATAAACAGAACACATTCTCATGGTAGAAAATTTGGAAAATACAAGAGTTTAAAAAGAAGAACATAAAAATCACCAGTAATCCAACAACCTTGGAGAATACCGCTGTATTAACGTTACACAGTTTTTAGATGGCTTAAGTCGTGGATAAACCGAGGCTATCTAGACTAGAGGAATGGATGGGCTTGACACAGTCTTCCATCAATACCACTGTCCTCAACTGGTTCTGAAAAGAATGAGCTGCAAATGTCTTTAGGTTATTGTGTCTGGCTAGGTCCAGAATTGCAGATATCACATACTGTCTGAAGGTGGAATCTGTATGCTTTCAAGAGGAATAGGTTGGCAACTTGGCTAGCCTCTTATGAAATCGAGGCGCCTATCTGAAACCTTGATTGGGCAAAGGGTCATCCACTCTGCATAGGGATCTCCAAGAGCTGAGAGGCAAACCAGAGTATTTCTGCTTTTGTTCATGAGTGTTGAATGCTAAGACACTCAAGGAGTACCTCTTAAAACTGCTGCAAAGGAGGTGTATCAAAGTAGAAATACAGAGAATTCGGGTAGCCTGGTGAGGTAAAGGTCAAGAGCAGGGTTGTGCATCCATTCTTGTACCTCCTTTCTGATGGTCTGTCTTGCGGTTCAACACCATCAAAGTTTTCACTACAGATGGTCAGCAGCATCTCCTTCTTAGGCAATCACCAGTATGTATCAGATGCCTGTTTAATGACAGAAACTTTATGCCACCCTGTTTTTGCTGGTGTTTCCCACCATCTTTTACATTGTTTGTATGACTTGCTCAGTATTGTAGGGATAATGTTTCTGAGTCTATGGTATATATAACTCCTGACCAAGTGAGTAGATGATGTGACTTCAGAAAACATGTTGCTAGTGATTCAAATGTACCACTTGACACAGGAGGACACATGCCCTGTAGTTGACTTAGCAAGGATGAGGTGTTGACCTCACATCTGATGTTTGGTAGATCTGTCACAGAATCTAGCTGAGCAGCTGTGAGGACAGTGGTAGATAAGGCAGCCAACCTCCCTGGCACTACTCTGAGCACTTTAAGGGTATTAACTAAAACCCTCACACCCTGTGATGCTGGTGCTGTATCTCTTTATAGATGAGGAGACTGAGGGATGGGAAAGGCAAACAAAGTGTCCTCAGACATTAGGTGGGTGTGATGGAGCCAGAATTTGAACCCTGGCAGCCTGGATACAGAGTCTCTACTATTAATCGCCGTAGAAAGGTGATGATAGAATCAAAAGGTGATGTGAAAGTTGAAAAAATTTAAAAAGTAAGTAAATGGTCCAAACAGTTAATAAACATGATTATCCTTACAGGACATGCATATTAAAAACTATGAGTCTTTCTTTCATACCCATCAGATTGGCAAAAATTTTTGAACTTCATAATACCAAGTATTTGAAAGGATGTGAAACAAAGGAAACTTTCATATTCGTCTGGAGAAAGTGTAAATCGGTGTGATCACATTGGAGAGCAATTTGGCAAGGTGAAGATGTGCATACTCTGCAGCCCACTTCTAGGCTTATACCCTCCACACTCAAATGTGTATCCAAGAAGATATGTACAAACCTTCATTGTAGCATTGTTTGTAAGAGTAAAGAAATGGAAACAACCTAAATGTCCATCAGTTGGGGAATGGATAAATAAATAATGGTATATTCATATGATGGAATTCTATGCAGCAGTTCAAATGATGTCAGTGTTGAGTGAAAAAGCAAGTTGCAGAATGATTTGTATGGTATGCTGTTTATACAATGTTTAAAATATGCAAATTATATACTTATCCATAATTAATACATAGTATGTATTAAAATTGTTTTTTAAATGCACGGGCATGTCAAATACCAGGGGAGTGGCTGTCTTTGGAGAGGGAAAAGGATTGAAGATGGGTAAGATGGTAGACAGTGAATGTCAACTGTTATAAATTTTTTACAAAAAGATCTGAAGTGAATGTGGCAAAATGTTAAGATCTTGCTAAGCTGGTACATGGGTGTTGATTATATTAATGTTATTCTCTGTACTTTTATGTGTACTGGAAATACTTGATAAAAGTAGCACAATGTGTAATTAAAAATGCACAGACCAAAGAGAAAGCAATGATCACTAAACACCAAGGGTAATAAATAAATCTAAAGTAATCTTGAAAGAAAGAGAAGTATCTTAAGACCAATGGTGGGGAGCCTGAAAATGAGGTATGTGTGGGAAAAATGCTTCATTCAAAAATGGTCAAGTGATGGTGGTGGTGTTTTTAATGCCAAATAGTCACACAGTTTGTAAGTCAGACCATCTACAGGTGAATATAGGTGAGGCTAAGAGCCAATCAGAACTGTTACCATTCACCATATGTGTGCATATCCAGGTCTGCAGATGTTGAACTTGGGAAATTACATGGAGTGGGGTGGGTAGAAATGTGCTGCCTCCTACCACAGCTGTTCGTGAATCTGTCAGGCTAAGGAATGTGTGCAGTGTATCCCAGAATCCCTAGCTTGGATGAGATGTCCTTTTTATTCTGGTCTTCTAGAAATTAACTTTTCAAAGACAATTTAGCAGTTATGTTTAACTGAACTAATAAATTTTTAGTTCAGAGGAGAATCTAGAAAAATAAGTCAGGCATATCTATAGCTTCTGTGATTACAGTAGTTATGCAAAATATATGATTAGGCTTTGCCTACTTCCTGTTTGATTCATTCTTGTGGGACTCATGGTGGGATGTGATAAACTGTGTAAGGGGAAATGTAATAGGGGAAAGGGAAAGTTGGCCTTGGATGTTTTTTGAATTTATTTTGGAAAACTTATGAAATTTTTTAATTTGATATTTACTTTGATCTTTTGGTATTTATCCATATCATATGATATTCCCTTCTGTTGTGATTACTAGCAGGCAGGCAGACTTTAAATAACTTACCTGATTTTTGTTTTTGTTTTTATCCTGAATTTCTCTGATGTTCAAGGTATAAATCATATGAACTGTATGTTTCTATGAGAATTTCAAAAATCCTAGTATGTGTTGGCGAGCTTTTACCGCACTTGTGTTGGTTTGGTGAATTATTCCTCACCCTGCTCTTTTACTTTGTGGTCTCTTTATTTTTACTTAGAAGCTGCTAAATTTGCTTTTGATTTATTTTTGCAATCTTTGCAGTGCACCCTCTTTACAAAACAGTAACAGATGCACAATATAAAAAATTGAGTACAGAAGGACAGAATAAACTTGCCCAGCTCAAACGTCTGCCCTGATTCCTCTCTTTAGATCCTTGTATATGTCCAGAATATTTTATGCCTACACAAGCACTTATATTGAACCAAATGAAGTTGCTAATTTTGTAAGTCAGAATATAAGCAGTTTCTTTTGGTTCAATATGGTGTATTTTTTTTTTAACAGCATACTGTACTCACTGTTGTACATCTTTTTATGTTCAAAACTTGGAGTTTGTTGTGTATCAGTGTATGTAGAGATTCACCCTGTTCATGGCTTTATGGTCTTTTACTGAGTGGATTACTCATGCTTTAGCTTGTTTGT